AAAAAAGGAGATGGGTTCGGTTCGGTATTTAACGAACCACGTGTGTTGCAACACCGAAACTAAATCGGAATCATTACGGTTACCGACTTTCGGTAATTGGAAAAATCGATTTAGTTTGGTTTTTTTTTTCATGTCGGTTTGGATCGGTTTTCGGATAGAAAATGTCACCCCTAGTTTTAATCAAGATTTACTATTGTTTACTTATTTTGTTTTTTGGCAAATGGCCTTTACAAATTGACTAGTTATAAATTCTATAGAACAACTTGGTGCTATTTAAGCCAAAGTCATGTTATTTTTACCTATAAAGGAAATCGAATCTAGAATCATATGGTGCTATTAACAGTTGAGGAAATTGAAAATTGGTAGGACATCAGCAACAAAATATCTCTATATATAATTAGTTGAAGACAAGTATTTTTTTAAATTATTGTTTGGTTAAACTGTTGAATGAAGCGAGTGGTTTAGCTCAACTTGACTCATATTTCAAATAAACCGAACTCGAGTTTATTTAAAACTCGTTTAACTAACAATCCAACTTCGTAAAGGCTCCAGAATTGAGATTGGTTAGACTCTCTATGCTTATTCATGGTTGTTTGAATTAACTTGCATGAATTACGAATAGTAGTTATTAAATAGTGGAACTCACTTGGATAATCGACATAATTTGATCCGGAGGTAGGAAGTGTGATAATTGGGGAAATTCAAAAAATAGTATTGTAATTTACATAATTGCACCAAAATATAAAGTGATTTGAAGTCTTAAATTGAAAAAGTATAATGTAAAAATAAATCTTATATTGAGAATAACTTAAAATTGAAACTCTCAAATGAAAAAGTTAAAAATTTAGGCCTTATTATGACACAATAATGAAAAAGAGTTTGTTGAAAATTTTTCAAAAATTGCAGGTTATTCTGTTTATTTTGAATAATGTGGAAGTTTTGTTGAAAAATATATAATAATAAAATTATTATTATTTNTTCTATAAGGGGAGTTTGAAAAAAAAAGCAAATTTTGCAGGAGCATGAGCTATATTATTGGTCGAGCAACGCATATGATGGAGTCGTCTATACGTTGTCGCTTGAGACTAGGGCTACAAACGAGTCGAGTCGAGTCGAGCATTGGCCTTATCGAGTAGGATTGATTTTTTCTTTTAGCTGCTCGAGCTCGATTTTGAGACTCGAGCTCGACTCGATAAAAAATTACAATAGCTCGAGCTCGACTCGAAATCAAAATGATCGAGCTCGGCTAAAAAAATTTTAAATGGAAATGTAAAATTACCATTAAGGACCTATGTTAATATATAAAGGGGTATTTTAGTAATTTACATGTACCTCGAGCCGCTCGACAAGGTAAAATATGAGCTCGAGCTCGACTCGAGTTCGAGCTCGAGTCGAGCTTTGACTCGAGCGCTCGCGAGCCGCTCGGTTCGTTTGCAGCCCTACTTGAGACATAACCCAAGTCCAATTATATGTCACATATACAAAAAGATACCCAAAGCATTGTAGGTGCTCTTGTGCTTACGTGACATGTAAATAGACCTAAGTCTTGGATGACATGGACAAAAATATATAAAAGTATCAAATTTAACTCCAATGCAAAGAGACTGAGTCTCTAATTGTAGGGGTGGTATCGATTTGGTTACCGAACTGATAAGGCCAAACCGATACCGAACCAATTATTTCGGTAACTACAAATATGAAACCGTTACTGGTTCGGTAACGGTTTCCTACCAAAATTTACCAATAATAAATGAGAGGTCCGATTTTTTTTTTTTTTTTTTTTTTTTTTTTTGGTTAATGGGTGAGATGAGCATTCATGACATTAATACTCATCAAATTTTGATTATTGTACTTATACATTGATTAATAGAAATATACAAACCATAAAATTAATCCACAAATACGCAAAGTGGTCGAGCATATTACTACTTTTGCTAAGGGACATTTGTCTGCGAACAGGGCATCCAATATCCAGAATAAATGTCGACAATTGTTGAAATTTCCTAAATATTGCTTATGACGGTTTTCAAGTCCTGATATTGCTTAGTAATTATATCCAAAAGTTGTTTGATTTGTTATGCATTCACAAGCTATATAACATAAGTTATTACTTATTAGTTATTAGTATTAAGTTATTAATTATTAGTATTAAGTTATTAATATTAGTATTGAGTTATTAACTATTAACATTAAGTATTTTTTTTTTATAAATTCCTTATCGGTTCGGTTCGGTAAAACCAAACCTCTATAGTTTCGGAACCGATACCGTACCGATAACATATCGGTAACCGATAATCGGTTACCGTTTTAAGTGAGTCGGTTTGGTTTGGTTTTTTTTCTCGTCGGTTCTACGGTTCGGTTCGGTTTTCGGTCCAAAAATGTCAGCCCTATCTAATTGGGTCTAAAATAGAGTTAAGGCTAGACGGATTCTATTTTTCTTGTTGTCACATAAGCAGGACCTGGTCCACGTGCAATTGCATTGGAGTACATATTTTTCTTGATTTAGTATATTTCTTATATGACATGTATATTTTTGTGAATGAACCAAAGGCATTGTGGGTGCTGCCTCGAATACCTTTCTCTCCACCTTAGAGCACCCACAATGCTTTGAGTCTCTTTTTGTATATGTGGCAAATAAATAGACTTAAGGCTATAATGACATGGACAAACCCAAGTTAAAAAATCCAAAATCTATCCAATGCAAAAAAAATAATACTAGATCTATAATACCTAACAATCAATAAAAATATAATAATAGTAAATGATTGCTGATTGTACAGGTTCACACTTGGGTCCAAAATAGACCAAAAAGTGGGCTTGTTCAGGGGCATAGCCATATAAGGGCCAATGTGGGCCTAGGCCCACACTGGAAAAAGAAATACATCTTATATATCTACTTCAAAAATTGTTTAATAATCTATTTATAAAATAAAAATAAAACAATGAAAACTCAAAGAAGGTAAATAATGGGCAAAATAAAAAGATAATGGGTAAAAGAAATCATTGTTCTTGTTGATTTTGTTGAAAGTAAATATAATCCTTTTTTTTATTAGATTTGATATAAAAATAAAAAAAAAAATTAAACTTGTGGCTAATTGAATGTTGTTTCTTAAATAATTATTAACATATTTAAATTTGTGTGCGACTGATAACTTGAGGGCTCTTAAAAGTTTGATATACTAGATAAAATATTTTATACATTATAATTTATTTTTTATATCAAATTATAAGAAAATATTTTTATAAATAGTCTCGACAGAAAAGTGCATGTGAAAATATTTCAAAATTAGCTACTTTTAGTCTAAATATACTTGAGGTGAATCATCATAGTGGTAGGCCGAAATAAAATATAAAGACCTTATTGTAGAGTCATACCAAACTATAAAAACTCATACAAAATTCAATGAGTGTATATTTTTACATTTATGCTTTATTATGATGTATTATACTCTATCCGATTCACAATAAGTGTCGTTTTGAGAAGTTGTACAGTAATTAAGATTTTTTTTTGCCAATAATAATCCTTATTAATGAAGATAGAGATGAATGTTTTGAGAAAAGATGAAAAGTGAATATAAAAAGACGTATAATATTTATTAATTAAATGAGGGTAATAATGAATAAATAAAACGTTATTTATTTGATTAATGGTTGATAAATCCAAAATGACATTTAAAAAAAATAGGAGGTACTATATGTTTTATAGAAACAAGTAGACCCACATTGATTTTATGAGTTAGATCCGCCCCTGGGCTTGTTATCTTGTTTTTATTGCCACATAAGCTAGACTAGATCCACTTTTAATTGCATTGTGAAACACTTTTACATATATTAGATATATTTCTTACATGGCATATGATTTTTTCTAGGGTGGTACTATTTATCGCCCCCCATTTTACTACTCACCGCCCCCCTTGGACGATTTTGTCATTTTCATTTTTTCTAAACATCTCAGAGGAAAGTGTATGGTGAAATGTCGTCAAAATTCGGAGGTACGGATATTTTTGTGTCCGGCCGCCGGAACCGACGGCTTTTAGCCCGTCCGACTGCCGGAACCGGACGGGTCGGACGGGCTAAAAGCCGTCCAAAAAGTTCTGCCGGTCGGACGGGCCCTGTCCGAACCGGTCGGCCGGACGACTTAAAAGCCATCCGAAAACGACGGCCGGTCGAAACCGGTCCGTCTGGTTCGGCCGGCCGGACAATTTTTTTTTTTTTAAATTATTATGTTATATATTCGAAATACTTATGTTATAAATTGGACTATATTATTATGTTATAAATTATTATATTACATTTTAGACTTGATTATGCTATAAATTGGACGTTTATCGTGTTAGGAGTTACAAATTATTATGTTATATGTTGATTATAATATAAATTGGACGTTACATATTATCTGTTACGAGTTAGAAATTATTATATTACATGTTAGTCTTGGTTATGTTATAAATTGACGTTAGATAGTATCGTGTTAGGAGTAACAAATTATTATGTTACATGTTATAGTTGATTATATTATAAATTGGACGTAAGATATTATCGTGATCGTGTTAGGAGTTACAAATTATTGTGTTACATGTTAGACTTCATTATGCTATAAATTGGACGTTAGATAATATCATGTTATGAGTTACAAATTATTATGTTACATGCTAGAATTAATTATTTTAATTTAACATGTTCTAAAAATATAAATATTGTACTATATAGCAGGAGTCATGGGAAAATTTTGGAGGAGATGGTGTTGATTACAGTCTGCGTTTCGATACCTGTACATTATATGATAGTGCTCAGGACGCTATTGAAGTTGCAAAACACCAGGCAATGCTGAATGGTTTCCTATTAATAATTTCGAGCCACAAAAAGAAAACGGTCAGGCTT